TTGTACACTCAGACCACAGTCCATAACACACATACACACACACCCTCACATACACACATATATATATAATATGCATTAAGGAGACTTAATGGAATGCTTGATGTTTGTCATTTTTTGTAAGTTTCGTTGTTTTTAATTAAATAGAAGAGACAAAACTGATTAAATAACTTGTAAAAAGAAACTTTTTTCAACACGTCTAAATACATTTTGTACATCTTAACCCATTACAAACTACCAGCAATTGCCGCCTTATTATATATAAATGAATCTCGAATCCCCCTCGACTTTCCATCTTGAACCTCTGAAATACACTATATATGCTATGTTGATATGGGTCTCAGCATTATGTGTTCTGTGACCCATATCAGTATAGCATGTGCGACTGACTTGAAGCAAATCAGACCAGGGTAGGGAGGGGGACGGGGGAGTCGTGTTGTGACACAGACACGAACTGACAAAGTAGGCTACGCATACTTACCTTTAACCCACAGATGCGCGTACACACATGTATCTCAGGGGGCTCATCATCATTGTCGTTGATAAACAAAGAATCTCTTCGTCTGATCGGTTCTCTTTTGCACTGAAGTGACTCGACTTGCACAGGCCTATCTTTCGTGAAGCCGACAGTTGTTTTCTTGTTGAAAGAGTGAAAAACACATATTGAAATTGGTAGACCTTTTAGAGTCAAACATGAAACTTGTCTGTGATGAGGTCAAAACTGGTAAAATTCACTCCAAACTCTTATATTGATCATACAGGCTTCCCAGTGAAGTTTCCTGTTCCGGTCTTTTTCAACCAATCAGAATGTGGCAAATTTTGAAGCCCGTGATTTTCAAACCGCAAATATTTGTATTGCGAAACATGATTCGTCAAAAACGTTGATAACTTTAATTTTTAAACGTTTTAAGGAAGAAACACTTCAAACCATAATGCATATGTTTGCCTAGTTCACGTAAACATTGTCCATTTTTTTTCGGTTCATGAAAAATCTACATATTTGTCTAAATTGACAAGCCCAATGCCCCGAACTAGTAAACAAATGTTGATGTTTACTATGAAACATAAGTTGGGCTTGTTTATATTTTTTCAAAATCAACCTGTAACCTATAGTTCACTTATTACTATGTTGTATATCTTAGCCCTGTATGACCCCTGAACTAATTACTATATTGTATATCCTAGCCCTGTATGACCCCCTGGAAGGGGCTAGCATGAGTGTATTTCTGGTTGGTAACAGACCTGGGGAAAACTTTGGTAGTTGCCTATAATAATAATTTGAGGTTCTTACAAATGTATATCTGAAATCTACTAGTCCAGGACTAGTGTTGAACCCTGTATCCATGGTTATAGGGCCATTGCAACCAGCCAATAACTTTCTCAACTCCCTGGGGAGCATACAGCCGGTGCTGCCATTCTGGCACTCACAGCTAGCATTCTACAATTCTAGCACTGCCCAACCACATACATAAAAGTACAAAATATAACAAGAATTTG